GCTTAATGATCTATCCACACAAACAAACAAATTTTCATCAACATCTACATAAGACAGGGTCAGTTCATTCTCAAAAAAGTACGTTCTTTTTTTTGTACGAAAAAGTTACTTTTTTTGCTCGTTCTCTCCTCATCCTTCGTGTAGATATGTGATACTAATACAAAAAAAAAATGTACATCATAACGTGCGATCAATAATAATATGAATATTGTAAAAACAAACCTTGTTTTTTGTTATATATTTTACGTTGCAATAATCTAAATGTTTTGAATTTTCATTTTTCCATATATTGCTCAACAATTAAAACTAATATTAATGAATTATGTTACTTATGTCAATGTCAATTGTTATTGAAATAAAATGATGACGTGAGAGTTCCACAATTGAATTTATTACCTTTGAATACTCTATATGAATGTATTTCAATAATGAAAAACAAATCATAGGAATTCATTGATCATCTTTATTTTAAAAAATTTGTGAATATTTTAGATTGATTTTCAATATAAATATAAGTTAAAAGTTTACCAAAATATTGTCTATATATAACTAATTTTTTCTTTAAAATTCCAATGCATAATCGAGTGTTTCTTTTTCTTGTATTGTGATGTTTGAAAAAAAGAGAAAAACACCGAAAAGGGACGAAAAGAATAGTTACACATAGAAAAATTTAGGTTCATTACGAGTAATTAGGAAGATCATTAGAATGTTTTATTTGAAATTCTTGATCTTTTATATTTAATTTAAAATTTAATGGTTATTTTATTATTTTTAATTAAAAAAAAACCACACAGGTAAAAGCAAAAATAATAATAATAATAATAAAATAAATCAAAAGAATTAAATATCTTTAAAAGCAGGGATGTAGCGAAAGAAAAAAAGTGGGGGGGGGGGGGGGAATAGGTAAAAATTAAAATCATATGATTTTTTTCTGGAAGCTAGTTTTTCTAACGAGCTCTCTGGAAAAATGACAAATTTTAGTGTTTTTATCGTGGATCTATGTATATAAATTTTTCGACATGTTCTAATACATCCTCTACAAAAAGATCATTTATTCGGAATCCAGTTTAAAACGTGATAATATCATCAAGTAGTTTCTAATTTTCCAAATTTTCATTTCTTTATTATTTCATCTCAAGACAAAGGATCACCTTTTATTTATTTACATCAGTAAATTTCGATCATAAACAAAAAATATAATCAATTTTCAGCTAATTGAACAAGAATATGAATACAATAAAAGCTTTAACAAAAACATGAAAATAAACAGGATAAATGTAAATTATTCATTGAGTTGGAAGATGTCTTCTTGCTTTTGTTCCCCATACTGTAACTAATTCATCCAAATTCAAAGAATCTAATATATCTTTTTCTGATGAACATCATATTCAATTCATTAATCGATCATCAAACATTTTTGATCTTAAATACTTTTTTATTATTTTTAAACGACTAAACATTCTTTCATTCGATGCAACAGTTACAGGTAATGACAATATGAACAAATCATAATCTTTTTATGTACGTATATAAGGCCTTGTCTCCACCAGAAAATTTAATACCGAATTAAGAAACTTGATTCGTGGAAAATTTAATTCGCATTTAATGCACTTTCAAAAGCGCATCAAATTTAATGCGCTTTCGAAAGCGAATTAAAATTAATGCACCAATCAAAGTCTCATTAGGTTCATGTGCTCCAATTTAATTAATGAAAGCGACGTTTTGTTCTAGATTCTGATTGATGCACTAACTTTCCAAGTGTAGACACGCATGATTTTAATACGAAGTTAATACCGTATTATTTTTCTAGTGGAGACAAGGCCTAAGAGAAAATTTATCATTCGGTAATTTGCGACCTCTATAATCTGATTAAGATTCACGATTAGTCGAGCTGGGTGTTGGCACCGTTTAAGGGAAACAACCGTTTAAGGGAAAATATGGACACCATTGTAGAGGCACATGGAATCATTTAATGGCGACTGGTTTAGTACAAAAATCTAGCCATAAATAGAATATATGGACTTTTGAAAAATAGAATTATGTATTATTACTTCTGTTTTATCATAATATATTCATTTTTGAGATTTTTGAGATTACATTTAAATGTTCACCTTGTTCTACCAATTTACTCCTCTGTTTTGATTGAGATATTTGTTTAGTGCCGAATTTAAGTTAACCTATGAGATAAGTCGACTTGTCTCATGAGATAACTCGAAATATTAAGAATAGCTTGCTCAAACATACGCGGCGACTTATCTCATAGGGTAAGTCGAGTTATCTCATAGAAGAAGTCAGAATACTAATTGAGTGAGTAAAAATATTTCAGTTAAAAGAAGCGACTTATTCTATGAGATAACTCGACTCTTATGGATGAACTACTTTTTTCCAGTATTTCGAGTTATTCTATGAGACAAGTCGACTTACCATATAGGATAAGTCACAATATTAAGTGAACAAGTATAAATGTCTTAATTGAAAGTAGTGACTAATGCTATAGGATAAGTTGACTTGTCTCATAGGATAACCCGAATTCTTTGCAAAATGGAATGTCTCGATAACTAGCTACATCTGTTTAAATTTATAAAAAATTCTGTACTAGTTTTTTTTTCAATTATTGACATATTTTAAGAGTAATTTAATACAACAAGATGTGTTCCAATTCATGTAACCAATCAGATTTACCATGTGTGCCTCTATAATGGTGTCCATATTTTCCCTTAAACGGTTGTTTCCCTTAAACGATGACTACAGCTGGGTCATTTGTCTTTAGATTTCAAATAATTATTTGATAATGTATTGTAATATTGAAATCTTATAAACAAAACTTCTAATACAAGTCTATTTTTAAAAAAGTGGAGGAGTGCGCACCTCCCGCACCCCGTGAACGCCACATCCCTGTTTAAAAGAAATATATGACGTTTCAATATAGAAAATTGTCTTTGTCAGACGTTTTGGTATGTTTTTTCTTTTTCTTAGATGTTTCATTTAACATCTAAGAAAAAGAAAAAAAAAGAAAAGATATACCAAAACGTCTGACAAAGACAATTTTCTATATCGAAACGTCATATATTTCTTTTAAAGATATTTAATTCTATAATTATTTGATTTGATGGGCAACAATTTGAAACAAAATTGTATTGTTTTAACAGCAGCAATAAAAAGATTAGTTTTCATTTTTGCATCGACGTTTCGATAAATTTATTATCATTTACAAGATATATAATCTACAATGAGAACAAGAGATATAATCTACAATAAAATACACTAGTTAGTATGTTTAATATTAAATAAAGATACGATTGAGAGAATGAGTAGATATAAACAGACGATGGTAGAATGCAAATTTATTTAAAAGGAGCGTATAAATACGAGAAGGATTTAAGAAATCCATGAAAGAATGCGTGAAGTCAGAAGATTGATTAAGATAGATATGGTGTGAAAGCAAGAGGTTAAGCAGCAGCAACTATTGCGTTCTTTTGTTTTGTTTGAATTCTTATTCAATGCCAATGCGTCTTCTAGAACACCCTTCAGGATAGACCAACAGCGGAGGGTGTGGGTGTGTGGGTAGGTGTTGGTGTGGGTGTGGATGTGGATGGGGGGTGTGGGTGGGTGTGGGTGTGGGTGTGGGTGTTGGATAGGAAAAGAAGCACCCGCACCCACACTCACACCCACACACCTACCCACACTCACACTCACACCCACCTACACTCACACTCACACCCACCCACACTCACACTCACACCCACCCACACCCCACATTTTAATAGTCTTAGTTGTGATCATGACAAAAGATTCGAAAATCATTTTTCCTGGTGTTTCTGAGCGAAACGTTTAAAAACTAACATAAAAGTAAAGTATTTCGACAGCAATAAGCTAAGAGTACAACTCTTCTGTATGTTCAAAATTCATTTAGATTTACATTATGCACCTAGTCTCGAGTCTAGAGTGATTTATCAGTTGGAGGACTTTCCACATGGGTTAGATTTTTATCATAGTCTAATTGTTTACAAACACAATCTTTCTTTTTCTTGAGATTAGATGAGTTTTATTTTAGTTCAAAATAAAATAAATAATTTAATACTTGATTCTATATAGATTCAATAATTATTATAGTAGTGAACGTAACACATTATTTCCTGGTCATGATTATGTTCCATATTCATTCAGTATTGCATTTATTGATGACTATGTTATTTGATTTGATTTTACTAATTATTCACTTATTGGTCATCCATTACTGCAACTACAAGACATGTTTAAAGTTTTTGTTTTCATAGGAGCTTTTGTTTTGAAGACGAATGGATGATTGTAATGATAATTCAGGTAGAAATTCATTTTGAAGAAAAAGAAAAAGAAAAACCTATATGAATACTTGAGATGAAGAAAATTATGCGTACCATTGTATGTCACAAACATTTCATTGTAGTTGTAATTCTAGTCGATGCTTACAGATGGTTAGATTAGTTTTTAAACAAAAAAGAAATTATTAAATTTGTAATAATAATCAATGTTTTTTTTCTTTTTTTGGAATTTTCTGTTTCCTTTTTGATAGGAGAAGGTTGCAAGCTTGGGTCAACCTGTTGAAGTTTGGATAGAGCAGACGAATAAACGATGCCTGAAACGTATCAAAATTGGGCAGCGGATTTGTCTGAAACATTTCACTCATTAATTATTATTAATATTTTCTATTTATTCTTTATCAAGTAATCATCGAAATGATTGTCATGATGAATCAGATGAAAATCCAGGAGCATGTGATAAGGAACTGAAAACAAAGTGTTTTATTTCGTTTATTCGATTTATTTTTTCTATCTATCGTCGATGTAGTGAGGATGAATTTGGATGTGGGTGTAGCTAACCACAGATTCACGCCCACACTCACACCCACATCTAAACCCATTGATATCCAAATCCACGCTCACATTCATCCGTAACCACTCATATTCCCCCTCACTCACACTGCTACACACGCTGCATAACAACAAAAAAAAATTGAATCATCATTTTTGAGTGTTTTTGAAATCGAATTTTTGAACACGATTATTGTGAGTATCGGAAACACAGAGATTGTTATCACGATCGAAAGATAAACCTCTGGGCCACTTGAGCTGATTTGCTTCTCCTCCGCGTCCATTTCCACCCACGATAACAGTGCCATATGTGGCTTGTTTAGTCCAACGAATCACTCGATTATTCTGCGAGTCCGCCACATAAAGAGTTCCCGATATATCAACGATAAGTTGGTCGGGATAATTTAACTGTGTCATATTATTTCCTTGACCATTACCTCCAGCGACGATGATTCCTTCTGTTGCGTTTTTATTCCATTTCATCACACGATGATTGTAGTTGTCTGACACGAAGATAGTCTGTTGTGGATCAACAAAGATATAGTTTGGATGGTTGAGTTGATTGAATTTATCACCTTGACCATTGCCACCAGCCACAACATTTCCATTCTTGTCTCCTATTCGATATCGTCTTACTTCATGTTTTGCATGATTAGAGACGTAGAGACATCCCTGTTCATCCATGGCCAATCCATGACCATCTATATTGTCAAGAAGAATTTCTCCTTGTATTGTACCACTACGGCGAGACCATCGTACAACTCTTTTATTACCCAGATCATTGATAATGAGACTATTCGTTGTTTTGTCAATCAACACATCAGTCGGCTCATTCAATTGATTCAATCCACTTCCTGCGCCATTGCCACCAGCTACCACTTCTAGCTTCATATTATTCATGCTCCATTGAATGATACGATTGTTGTAGGAGTCAGCAATGACCAATGTTCGAGTATTATCAAAGAAAAGACCCTTGGGAAACCGTAATTGATTGATGGTACCGCCCCACCCATGGTTTCCAGCAATGGTGACTCCATTCTGTTCCCATTGGGCATCGACTGGAATATCAGGCATCACTAAAATGGACAAGGAACACAAAAGAGTTTACCGTCATTGTAGTTTTCGAATAGACGAGTGTGGATATGAGAGTCTGATATCAGCGTATGTGTGTGTGGGTGTGAATGTGTCTGAAGCAAATAACAGCGCCCACATCCACCCACACTCTACACCGAAAATGTTTTCACTTTAATATATCCATGGAAAACTTCTTTGAATCTAATCAATATTATATGATTCGACATTAGGTAATATGAAAGAGACTTAAGACCATTGTAAGTAATCCATCAATATTCTTTACACATAAATGAAAACTGAGAGTTCAAATGAGTCTGCAAGAAATATTTCTTACTTAAACTATAACTTAACGAAACATTTAGAAATTAAGCTATCTATATGCTTTTGGTATAGTTTTTAAGAATGACATGACATTTGAACGTATACTGATTTTATAGCTATCACCTATACGTCTATATGTTATTCGTTAGAAACATTTAGTGTCCCTAGAGAAAGTACTGAGCTCAGGGTACCCATGTACTGAGAAAGCTCTAGCAGGGTACCCAATATGGGTACTTTGAAAATTCTCAGTAATTTTACTGATGTATGTACTGTTTGGGGTACCCGTAAAAGTACATTCACTGAATAAGTACCTGCATGGATACACAAGTCTGTAACTTTACTGAGGAAATCTCAACAGGGTATCCTAAATTTTTCGCGTTCTGTGTGGCGACTATTCATTCACCGTTTTCTTTTTTACTTACGGCTCTATATAAATAACTCGATAAATCATAAGAAAATAATCAATTTTCATACTAGTTTTTTCTAAATTATTTCTTGACTATTTCTTAGTCGAGGAAATGCTGAGCTTGGTCGTAAATTAAGATCGGACTACTCTGAAGTGGTCTACGACCAACTCAAGTTGAGTCGGATCTCGACATTGTTCCTGCTAAGTTTTTGGAATTGAAAAAATTAAATTGAATAAAGTAAAAAAAATCTATTAAATTATCTCAAGAAAAAGAAAAAATTTTAAAAAGTCAAAGATCAGGTTCGATCCTGAACATACTGAAAATTTGGTAACAGGGTACTTAGAAATACTATACAATGGTACCCAATTCAGTACTTGATCAGTACCTTTAGGTACCCAATTACTGAGGATTTTCCAGCAGGGTACTTGCCATAGTACCACTTAGGTACCCGTAAGTACCTGCAAGTACTTTGGTACCCAAAAGTTCCTGTGACATACTGGTATCAGGGTACTTTTTTGGGTACCCTTAACTCAGTATATTCTCTAGGGGTAGCACTTATCAGAAGATTTCATGGAAAGAACGACCCCAGTTCAAGCTGATTAATTTAGGTTACTATTGTGCAAGAATAGCGATGGTTCACTCAACATTTATGTCATGATATAGCAATATAACAATAAATATATAAAAATCAGTGCTTTTGTTAAAGAAGTATCTAAAAACAGTCTTTGGGAAAGATCAGAGGTGAAAATAGAGTAGATAATAATGCATAGTTCTATCAATTCGATTTTAACAGTCAACTATTGCAATCATTTAAAATAGCTGCCTAATAAACACAAATCAAAATTGGTTGTAGATATAGGCAAATAATGGAGCGGCTATGGTAGAATTTCTCGTTCTATACAACAATGTTTTTGGGAGATATTGAATTATGTTTCAAAGAGTATGTCAAGATGTAGTGTGTGATCTCCAAAAATGGCGCTCTAACTATAAAAGTTCTCTTTCATTTGGTCATAGCAGAGATTAATCTGAGAAACAACACTATCATTCCATATATTTTGACATACTCTTTCAAAGTAAAGAAAAGTCATTGGCTATAATGAAGTTCCTTCGTAAATTCTGCAATGCGCAAAGCAGAAAATGAGAGAAACTTTAGGAAAAAACCAAATGCCAAATAAAATATCATGTTATTTTCGACAGAGACGATTTCAAACTCTCTTCCTATGCATTTATCTTAATCTTTGTGCTTTTCATAAGAATCAACTTATTTTGAAGAGAAGAGACTTTAATAAAATGTAAAGATATAACGATAAGAACGATTCTATTACTTTTATATGTTTTTTTTTTGTATTTTTCCAAAATATAGTATCCTCTTAACAAAGGTATCGGTTAAGTAGGATATAAGATGAAATCTAATGAAATATATAATCGAAAGTTTAGCTATGATATCTAACTATAGCTATTCGTTTTTTCATCATCTCTATTACCGTGAATAGAAAAACGAAAAAATGTTTGATTGCTTTACATATATCTGCGATTTCAATGCAAGTGATAAAAGTTTAAGAACAGATTCATATTCAAACACTTTTCTTCGGTAATCAACTTACCATCTACATTAATTATTGGTTAACTAACCACGCAGACAGATAGATGCTAAAAACGCCATTTTGACGCATTGGAGGCGAAAAAAAGAAAAAAACAACGCTTAATAACTCGCTCACTCAACAAATGAAAGGAATGAACGAGTTTTAATGCGTTTAACTTTGGGTTGACGCATTTTAACGGACTGAAAGAACATATTAAGGCAAGTGACATATTGTAACGCATTCAATAGAAGAATCAAACAAATGAATGCATTTTAACATGAATAATCGTCCCTTTTAGGGCGTTGATAGAAAAAAATAAATTGCAGGATAATCGCTCGTTCTAACTGATCTATATAGTATTCTACAATAGCAAACTACATTTGTAGTAAGGTAAACAACTATAAATTCATTAATGGTAGGCACTTCCACTTTAGTTGAGTACTAAATGATAATATAGATTTATGAACAGCAGGAAATACAAGATCAGCTCTAATTCAAAAAGCAAGCTTTTAGATCAAAGATTTGTAATGAATAAGTTTTAATTGATCAATGTGATACTACATAGAGTACGTTTCTGCATCGGTAATGGTGTGGGTGTGTGGAGTGGATGTGGGGGCCTTTTCTTCTATCACCACCCATACCCAAACTCACACCCACACACCCACACCGTTTATGAAATGACGCATCTCTGGACCGCAAAACAGAAGAACTCTTTTCAACTTAAATGACACGCCACTTTTTTCAATGCTATTATAAGCATTATAAGGCCTAGAAGAAAATTGAGTATTGTTTTTTTAGACATATTTTTTAATTGAAACTTTGTTTCACAGGAGCCACAATCTAAATTTACTATAAAATCTAATCGAAAGGGAGTATTGTTGAGGTTTCAAAACAAAATATATAAATGTAAAACACATTGCCACAGATTAGCCCATTTGATAGTGTTCAGCTACTCATGAGGAGAGCGTCATATTCTTTCATCTGAAAAGACTTGTTTCTATTACAGTCCAAGAATACACCATTTCATAGAGGCCATTATAGGGTTCAAAATATTATTTAGTTACATAGTATTGAAACAATGTCAACAATTTATTTTTCTCAATGGATGCTTCATAGAGAATTGAATAATAATTTTGGAAAACCTTCTGCAAAACGAATAAAAACAAGATATTCATGTACATATGAAAATGACTCTCCTTTTTCAATGACATTTGAAATCCTAGATCTTGTCGAAGTTTGCTTTGATTTTTGCTTGTACAAAATTCACAAACTAGAATTCCCTTAGATGAATCGATGTGCTCTTTCACTGGTGTGAAAATTTTGCATTGCGTGCATATTACATTCGTGTTGCACATATTAGTATAAGCAGATATTTATTCATGGAAGTTTCCAATTCTATATTATTTTCGCATAAAATTATGTATAAGTTTCTTGCTGATGTAATTCTGTATTGCATCGAATATATCATAGAATTATATACTTAATCTGGAGTAAAAAAAAGTTTTTCGATGCTTATCACAAGAATAAATTTCTGTTCGATTCACTACATTCAACATTTGATTAAACATCTTTTGATTAGAATAGGTTTTTACTGTAATGTATTATTATTGTGACATTTCAAGCAACATTTTAAAATTCCTCATCAAATTGATCAAAAAACAGTGATGCCATGGAGAGGAGGTCAGCCTGATACTCCTGAAAATCTATGCGATATTAAGTTTGACTGTATGGTCAAATGACTCCGATAGATAGCATCAATAAAATGCTTTCTTTTTATGCAAGTTTTTGCATCCTAATCAATCTTAGTATAACTTAATTAAAAGTAGTTGATCTGATATTTTTTATTTGAAAATGAAATTTTAGTTCATACGTTTCCTGTATCAACGAGATGAAGCCTTCTTGTGTAATGATTTACAGCTTACTATTTGCATCTCACATGTTTCGTTTTTGGGTATCAGTTTAGCTTTATCAATCGAAGTTGAAAATTTTATATCAGATCCGTTTGATTTCAAGTCAATGTGTATTACAGATGACTTGAAAACTGTAAAATAGGAGTCGAATAAATCTACATTTTCAAATCTAATATGTTTGTCGCTTTTGTAGTAAAAAAGAGATACGCCTTCTTTGGCACGAGTATCTATACATATTTACTCATGTAGCGTTCTTTCTTTTAGATTTGTGATATAATTGGTGTATATTATAAGTATAGTGTATCAGTAGTATAGAATTTATAAGTTGTAGTTAGAATACAGACTACAAATGGATTCTCGAATTTATACACTTGTGTAAAAAGTAAATAATAGTTTTAAATCACATAGTATCTTATCAATTTTTTAATTTGTCTGTTAGTCAATATTAAAAATAATTAACTATATTACCCCTTAACAAACATTCATCTCAATCACACTCACAATCAAATAAGAAAACGATCGTTTTATCTTCATAGAAAAGATATATAACTGGTATATAGAGCATTCTATTCGTCGATTTATTTTGAGTTTAATAGATAATGCTTAGTTAGTACTGAAAGACTGACAGTTTTTATTGCAGTAAATAGTGACTCATTCTATATTGTATCGAAGTAAAATAATCAAGTCATCATTCAAATTAAGTAGTATTCACTCGAAACTAAACACATACGACATATAATAGGAGGAGAAGAGAGAAAAGCTTTATTCAGATGATACAT